ATGATCCGTGTGTCAGAGGTGACACTCAAACTCATTCTTTTGGTTGATTTTTCTTTGTTAAATGGCATTTAAATATATAAAATAAATAGGAAAAACATAAATCTTTGTTTTACTATGGTTGCAAATATCAAAAAATTTAAATTTCTATATGTGACACGGCACCAGAGTTAAGTTAGGGTTTTTCAAAATGCTGACACGCCGAGCTCAAAAGGTTCGCCATCACTGGTTTAGGTATGTCCTGAGCTCAGGACTTCAAACAGCTCATGGCTATGGGGTTCCAGCCTGCTCCCGACCACCTACCCTGCAAACCTCAGACATGTTTTGCCAGTATAATTGTGTATGCCAGTACCTTGTAATAAACCCCTGTGTGTATGTATATGCACGTATCTGTGTGTGTGTGTGTGTGTGTATAAAATCTTCTACTGGTTTTGTTTCTTTAGTTGAACCCTGATACAAACATAAAAAAGATTCAATAGATTACATATATTCTTATATATAGTATACTATATATAAATACCTATGTTCTGACTTGTTTTGCCACGTCCAGTCAATATGTCAGGTTTTAGAAAGCTGAGTTTAGAATTCTCCTCAATCCATTTCTTTAAAGCCTGAAAACGAAAAGCCATTTTCAGTTAGGCCCATGTTGTATGCCATCTCTATTAATTCAATACTGAAGTATATGCAAGAGGGAAAAACATGTGAAGTTAGTATACAGACAGTTCTCAGATTGATAAATCTGAGAAAACTGCTTCTTGGAATTGAATTCTATGCAATAACTAACCATAAAGGTACAAATCTTTGTCATCAAAGATATTTTTTAAGTGATAAAAGCAAAGTTTAGATTGAAAGTGGGCATATAAAACTAAAAAGTGAGTTTAGCAAGATCTAGGACACAAGATCAGTAGACAGAATTCAGTTGTATTTCTATATACCAGCAACAGACAAAAGAACCACTTACAACAGCATTAAAAAGTAATACTAAGGTATAAGTCTAACAAAATACGTGCAGAATCTGTATGCTGAAAACAACAAAACACTGATAAAAGGAACCAAAAGAGATGTGGTAGGTGGCATCGGAGGTAGCCCTCAACGATCTGTTTCCCCTGGTATTCAGATCCTTTTATTCTTTCCCCTCAAGTGTGAAGTGAACTTATTAACTTGCTTCTAATGAATAAAATAGGACAGATATGATGAGGTATCACTTCCCAGTTGAAGTTATAAAATGACTGTGACTCCATATTAGGCATTCTTCCTCAATCTCCCTTGGATCACGCACTCAGGGAAAGCCAGCTACCATGCAGCCTGTGGAGAGGCCCAAGTGAGTGAGCTTAGAAGCACATCTTCTGCCTGGCTGGCCGTGGCTCAGTGGTTGAGTGTCAACCTATGAACCGGGAGGTCACGGTTCGATGCCCGGTCAGGGCATATGCCTGGGTTGCAGGCTCAGTCCCCAGTGTGGGACTACAGGAGGCAGCTGATCAATAACCCCAGTGTGGGACTACAGGAGGCAGCTGATCAGTAAGCCTTTCTCATTATTGATGTTTCTATCTCTCTCACTCTCCATTCCTATCTGAATGGAGATAAACCAATAAAAATGTATTTTTAAAAAAAGCAGCACATCTCCCGATGCTGCCAATAGACATCTCAGTGAGGTGGAAGTTGATCCTCCCAATTCAAGCCCTGAGATGACCGCAGCCATGGCCAACACCTCACTGCAGCCTCATGAGACGCTGAGCCAGAACCACCCAGTTAAGTTGTTTCCGCTTCCTGACCCATAGATATTGTAAGACAATAGATGTTTGTTTTTCCCAGTCACTAAGTTTTTTTTGGGGGGAGGGGGGCAATTTGTTGTCAGCAATAGGTAACTAATATAGAATCCCTATATAAATGAAGAAATATACTATGGTCATGGATTGGAAGACTCGATATTATTAAGATGTGATTTCTCCCCAATATTGTTTGTAGATTCAATGCAATCCCAAAAGAGATCCCAAGTAGACTTTTTCATAGATGTGGACAAGGTGATTCTAAAATATAAACGGAAAGACAAAGAAAGACAGCTAAAACAATTTCAAAGAAAGGAAAAAGTTAGAGAACTCATACTAGCTGATTTCAAGACTTACTATAAAGCTATAGCAATCAAGACAGTGTGGGATGTATAAAAATAAAAAATGGACAATTTACTTCTGTTTCAACATAGATAGATCTCAAAAACATTATGCAAAAGAATTAAGTAAAATGAAAACAGTCACAAAGGTCCACTATTTTCCAGTTTTATCTACATGAAATGTCCCGAATAGGCGATTCTATAGAGACAGAAAGTGATAAGTGATTACTTAGGACTCAGTAGAATTTTGATGAGGAGTGATTGCAAATGAGTGGGGACTTTCTTTGTGGGGAGATTGAAATATTCTAAAATTAGATTTTGGTGATAGTTGCATTACTCTGTAAATATACTAAACAAAGTAGTATTATATAATTTATATGGATAAACTCTAAGGAATAAAGATTACCTATAAATAAATCTAGTATTAAAAAAAAGACAGTGTGAGATGGGTGAAAGGACAGACATATAGATAAATGGAGCAGAATAGAGAATCCAGAAATAGATCCACATAAATACAGTCAACTGATTTTTTTTTAAAGTTACAAAGACAACTCAATGGAGAAAGAATAGTCTTCTCAATATACAGTGCTGGAACAACTGGATGTTCACATACAAAAAGAAAAAAAAAGCATCTCAACCCATACCTCAAAGTGGATTGGAGAGCTAACCATAAAATGTAAAAGCTTCTAGAAGATAACACAGAGAAAACCTTTGTGGTTGTGGGTGAGCAAAGTGCTCTTAGATACAATACCAAAAGCTCAATCCACAAAAAGAAAACATTGATTAACTGGACCTCATCAAAAGTTAAAACTTTCCATCTATAAAAGATACTGTTAAGAGAATGAGAAGACCAGAAGATCAGAAGAAAAAATTTCAAATCACGTTCCCAACAGAGGACTTTTTGTCAGAATACAAGATCACTCAAAAATAACATGATAAGCCCTAGCTGCTTTGGCTCAGTGGATAGAGCGTTGGCCTGCGAACTGAAAGGTCCCAGGTTCGATTCCAGTCAAGGGCACATGGCCAGGTTATGGGCTCGATTCCCAGTGGGGGACTTGCAGGAGGCAGCCGATCCATGATTCTCTCTCATTATGGACGCTTCTATCTCTCTCCCCCTCTTCCTTCCTTTCTGAAATCAATAAAAATATATTTTAAAAAAATAACATGATAAACGATCCAGCTACACCCATTTTAAAATGGGCAAAAAATGTGAACAGACACTTCACCAAAAAAGATGTGTGGATAGCTAATAAGTATATGAAAATGTTAAATAGTATTAGTTATTAGTTAAATGCAAATTAAAACCCTAGTGAGATATCACTACATACCCATAGAATGGTTAAAATTTTTTTAAATCAATCAAAAGAATAAAAACATGTAAAGGTATCAAGACATCATTATAAACTAGAGTAATTACAACAGTGAAGTAAAGAAAAGACAATCTTTTCAATAAAATGGTACTGCTCAATTTGTTATCCACAAGGAGGAAGAAGCTTACATCCACAAGTGCTCTGGTTTTCACAAAGAGAATGGTTCTGGTCTCTGGGTTTAAGTGGTACTCCTCTTGCAAGATGAAGCAGAGGTCCTTCAGTTTAGGGTTCTCGTTGCTGGGATCCATAGAAATGCTCTCTAGTTCTTGCAACTTTTCTGCAAAAGGAGTACGTTTTGTAAACGACTTATAAATTCTAGAAATTTAGAACACACTGGGACTTTCAGCTATAGTTCTGTTAATCTCTTAATCTGACCAGAATTGTATAAGTGAAAACCACCAATTGAATGCATACATTACTAGTAAATACACCAATAAATGCATATATTTTGTGCCCCGCCCCCCCCCAAGAGCTGGTTGTTCAAAGTTTAGCAGCACATCACTGGGTTACACACAGGTGTAAGTAAATACTTCAGTATAGGCCCCCCCAATTTTTTTTTTAATTTTATTTTACTGTTTAAAGTATCACAAATAGTAGTACATATGTCTCCTTTTTTCCCCATTTCCCGAAAAATTATTAACAGCAATTATCTTTGGGGGAAAAACAGGGGAGAAGGAGAAGGAAGCCTTACTTTTCATTTAATATCTTCCTATATATTTCTTAACATGAGGGAGATGGAATGAGCCATTTTGGTTTTCCTCTTTACATAGAAGTACATATAAATTACAGTATTTTTAATATTATTAAAACACTTTTTTTGTAGTTTGTAATCTTTATAAAATTACTGAAAGTAAAATCAAAATATGCTACTATTAACTATTTCCATGAAATATATCCTTTGTAAGTCCTACTATTTTTCCTTCTTCAAAATTGGAACTAGGGTAAGCCACAGGTTCTTTCCTTTAGTACCAGACTTCACTGAAGCTCCATGGTCCGGCCATCTGCGAAAGCCCAGGACAACATTCTGCCTGAGCATCACCAGATGCTCAATACAATGCCGCACAATTATGCTATCACTGCAGTCACCAGGCTGCATGGCTTCCTCCTCCGGAAACACCACCCACCTTCAAATCTGCGAGTGAGATCTTGCTCTATCTCATCAAATCCTGCTGAGCGGACATTGCTGAAGAAGTCTTTCAAGTAATCCAAAGCATCTTTCGTCCGTGCATGCTCATTGATAAGGAGGGCATCATTAAATTTCTGTTTAAAATGAAAACAGAGTTTCAATGTATTTCTAACGTCCAACACATCTGCTGTACTTAAGTTCAATGAGCTGTAACTTGGCATGGAATTAATTTTAAGAATAAACTTTTCTCAAATATGTTCCAACCTAGTTTTTTTTTTTAAATGAACAGTCCGTTATGGTACTTAGTGAAATCTTGGAATCAAATACTGTTTTCAAAAAATCTCAGTTAGCTAGAATCAATAATTAATTAGGATCACTTTGGGTTCTGGATGTCTACCTTGGAAGAGAAAGAGAAAATTACAAGAACAATGCATGTCAAAGACTAAAAGCAAATCAACTTCCGTATCAATCTGCCTCAAAATTCAGGCATTCAACTCAATCCCTTTATACATCTAAAGTCATCACTGAATGGTGATTGCGTCTGCTCAGAATGATGGCGCTTGACCACCTACACCAAATATTACGTTCATTAAAATTCTATAAATCGCCGAGGCCGGTTTGGCTCAGTGGATGGAGCGTCGGCCTGCGGACTGGAAGGTCCCGGGTTCGATTCCCGGTCAAGGGCATGTACCTGGGTTGCGGGCACATCCCCAGTGGGAGATGTGCGGGAGGTGGCTGATCGATGTTTCTCTCCCATCGATGTTTCTGACTATCTCTCTCCCTTCCTCTCTGTGAGAAATCAATAAAATATATTAAAAAAAAAATTCTATAAATGCATTCTGGTTGAGTGTATCCTAAAATATCCGTATCTTCCTGTGCACATGTGGCTCTATCTGAGGTAGGAACACATGCTTCGGACAGGGCAACAGGAGTCCCGTACTGACTTTAAGGACGGCTGTCACCAGTCACACCAGTCACATGTATACAGTAATGTTCATCCTCACCCAGCTTTCCTAATTGTGTTAATTATGGGAATGCTATCGCTTCTCAGCCTTTTGGCTAAGATCAAGTGTAGAATCATGGGAAGGCGGGAGGCACAGCCTAGAGCAGTGATGGCGAACCTTTTGAGCTCGGCGTGCCAGCATTTTGAAAAACCCTAACTTAACTCTGGTGCCGTGTCACATATAGAAATTTTTTGATATTTGCAACCATAGTAAAACAAAGACTTATATTTTGGATATTTATTTTATATATTTAAATGCCATTTAACAAAGAAAAATCAACCAAAAAAATGAGTTCGCATGTCACCTCTGACACCCGTGCCATAGGTTCGCCATCACTGGCCTAGAGCCTCCCCTTGTCCATCCTATTGCCTCCAGTGTTAAGTTCAGAAAGCAGACAAAGACGATGCTGAATGGGGTAATTTTTGGAAGTCTGCTTCATAAGAATCTTCTGGAAAGTTCCTATATGAGCTGTGGGGGCAGGATGAAAAATTGATGTTCCCTCCTTGGCTGCCACAGCACAGCTCCCAGTAGGTGCTACAACTAAAATATGCCTGACTAGCCCTGGCTGGGTAGCTCAGTTGGTTAGAGAATCATCCCAATATGCCAAGGTTGTGGGTTTGATCCCAGGTCAGGGCACATACAAGAATCAACCAACGAATGCATAAATAAGTGGAACAACAACTCAATGTCTCTCTCTCTTTCTCTCTCTCTCTAATCAATAGATAAAAAATAAAATATGCCTTTCCAAAGAAGCAACGTACCCGCAGATGTGAAGTGTACAAAAACAGTGCTGTACAAATCCTGCTCTCCTTTTCTTTGTCTGGCAGGTGCAGCACCGCGCACTTTTTCTGAACTGCAACGATCCACTGTTCATATTTCTGTGTTCCAAAATTCCTGTTTTGAATCTGAGATAAGTTTTCTGGAAAGAAAAAGTTTTTCATTGTGTCATATGTCAGTCATTTCAGGTTCTAAGCAGGCCTTACCCTCTAATTTTCTTATTCTGTTCACAGAGTGGTCAGTGTTCAGCAGTCCGGGCTCTGTGCAGGTGCTGGGGCCTCGGTAAAGGAGGAGGGACACCCAGCCCTGCCCTCCAGTAGCTCAGTCTGCGAGTGACTCTAGGAACAGTCAGTTCTCAGGGCTCCCGGGGAAGAGCACAGTGCAATAAAATTCACAGGAAGAGCTCTATTTCTGGGCTAAAATGTTCCTCTTTTTAAATAAAAGGAACAAAAGAGGCTTCTGAGACAAGTGGCCTTGACATGCTTCTTCCCCAGGCCAACTACAGACGAGGTGGCCAGCAGTAAACTACATGAATCAACAAGTATTTATTGAACTTGGGGAAGCATGAAAATAAGCAAGGCTGTGGTCAGGGAGGTATATGGGAAATCTCTGTACATTCTGCTCAATTATGCTATGAACCTAAAACTGCTCTAAAAAAATAAAGTCTAGTAAAAAAATGAGCTAAGCAATCCAGATCCAGAAATAAACAGTTGACAGGATTTGGACTGGCAAAAAGGAGGAGGTACGATATTAGAGATGGAGGGAATAAGAAGGTAGAAATTCAAGCCCCCTCCCCAGGTCAGATCACGTCATAACACTCCTGGATGATACCATGGCCTCCTAACTGGTCTCCCCACTCTCCCCAGATTCCCTCCAACCCATTCCTCACTCAGCAGTTAGAGGGAGTTTCCAAACTGAAGGTGAGGAGCTGCTATCCCACTGCTTCAGACAGGTCCTCTGTGACCCGGCCCTCCCTGCTTCTGATCCTCATCTCTATACACTCCCCTCCCTGCATCTACAGGACTGATGTGAGTCCCCACTCTCTACTCTCCCAGCCTCAGTCCATGCTGTTCCCCCGCCTGAAACACCCTTATCCCACCACCCACCCACCCCATCCTGTTGCTTTATTTTTATTACTTCCTAATTCTGGTTTTATTGTTACACTGGAAATGCCATGAAGGCAGGAGCTGTGTCTCAGGGTCCACAGTGTATTCCCATCACCCAGCACCTTGCCAACACTGAATGAACAAACGAATGAGTGAGCATGTTCAAGGCTAAATCAAAAAATTTAGTCGGAGAAGGAGTGGAAGGTAAAAGTGGAAAGAAGTAGAACCAGGCTGTGCAGGCAGGACTCAGACGGTCAAGGGAGAAACCTGGAGGGTTTTGCCTGTAAGCAAAGGGATTCAGGCAGGACACTGATGTGGTAAGACTGGTACTTCAGGAAGACCAGCCAGGTAATGGGGGAGGGAATGGATGGAAAAGAGAGGGAAGGTGGGCACACCAGCTAGAAGGCTATCAGAAAAAGCCCTACATCAAGCTATAAAAGAAGAGAGAAGTAGAACAAGTGTGAGAGAAGGTGAGACACCCTGAGATACCTTGCAGACATTAGAAATTCAACTGTCTCCCAAACTCTCAACTCACCCTGTGCCTGCCAAAGCTGCTCCTCGTTCTAGAACCAGTACCACTCACAGGCATATGCACAGGTGCCCAAGCGAGAAGCCTGCTGGGAAATCTTCCACTCCCTTCCCCCCTCCCTCCCACCCAAATCCAGTTAGCCATTAAGTCTGAACACTTCCTGTTCGCAGTGCTTTGCACAAGCCTCCTCCCTCACCACGCATCTCCACAGCCTCCGGTCCTCTTCCCTCACTGGTATCCTTATCACATCAAAATCTTCAGTTGCTTCCCATGCTTTTAGGGAACAATGTAAACCCAGCTTGGCCTACCAGGCCCTTCCCTGTCTACCCCCTGCCTCTCCCTTTAGCCTCACTCCTTACTCACATGTTAAAATTATCATGAAAACATGTTATAAATAAAATTATCATTTCATGTACTTTTTAAAACTCACTGCACTCTCTCTTCCTTCCATGCCTAATGCCTTTCGATCTCACGTAGCTGTTTCTCCTTAACCTGGCTGACTTCTAGATCTGTCCCAGGAAGCCTTCCCCGCAGCCCAGTCCTGTTCCCATGAGCTCCCATGGCACCCAGCGTGTGACGCTGCCCGGTCCCATGGAAACTACTCGCATCTGATTCTCACTGTTTCACTGTGAGCTCCCGGAGGGTGGGGACTATGTCTTTGATCTTGCTGTTTCCATCTCTACCACAGTACCTGGCACAATAATCTCTGGTGAATGAATGAGTGGATAATGAGGAGAAGAAGAGAACTGGGTGACTTCATGAGAGAGCCTCAAAAGAAGAAGGATCAAAGGTCACCTCTAGGCTTGAATCTGAGCCACAGAGGAATGGTGGTTTCATTCCTGCAATAGGAAGTCAGGACAGAAAGCTAATTTAAAAGAGCAATGAACTGATTTACATGTAATATATTTCAGGTGTGTTGTCCTGCATTCACTTTGGATTTACAAAGGGACAAAAAGCAATAGAAAATAAAGGAGGACTTGGAAGGTTCTTGAATAACCTATAAACAAGAAAGTCAACCTCTGGATAGGTCTTGGCATAGTCTGAACTGAGGAAATTGCAAACAAATATTAGTAACAATATGTGGCTATTCCCAAATGGAGAGGACAGGAAATGAAATTTATCTCACCGAGACTTATGGTACCGAGTTCACCAAAGATGCTCTTTGCCAGACTCTCTGTCTCCTTCATCAGCTCAGAGATGATACATTTAAATCTGTTGGTGGTCCGTGATTTCACTTTCCTGAAAACTAGAGCCATCAAAGGAAAGTTAGTATTTTTCAGGAAGCTTATGTCAGATTTAAAGCAGGCATCCCCAACCCTTTCTCTCCTGTTGTTACTTCCTCTGAGGCCCCAAGCTCACAGGTAACTCACCGAGGTGATCCAACAAACAGAAACCTTGCAACAGATCCCTCCTGCTAACATGTCTGCTGTGCTCTGGGTCTAACCCAACTTCTCACTCTGGCTTTCCTGTTACTCAGCACCGAGCCCCTGCTCTAAGGAGGCTGGTGTCCAGCTTGTTTCTGCAAATACCACTTTTTAAGCCTGTCTCTGTTCTTTGATTCCTTTCCACACAACCCTCAGGACTGTTGGCACTGTTCCTGACATTCACTATTGCATTGTTTGAGCAGAAATGTATTAACAGATCACCATGTGCCATATTCTGGAGACAGACAGTTGAACAGAACTCAATCTGTGTGTTCTTAGGGGACAAAAAGACACACTGCCAAGTAACCACAGCAGAGTGCGGTAATATAAGTATGCACAAGGGTCACGGAACACAGGGAGAAAAAAAACCCCAAATTCTTCCGAGGGAGGCAGTGGTGTGGGATACACAGGGGAAGAGGAAAGGAGGAAGCAAATGCAATCATGTACAAATAGAGCATGGCCCAAAGTTAGAGAGAAAAGGCATTTGACACATTTGAGGAGCCCACAGGAATGCAATGATTGGGTTTATGGGAGTTGGGAGGAGGTGAAGCTCAGAGGGCAGGGGGGACCAGGTTATGAATAAATATGTACTTGATACTAAAAAGTTCAGAGTGTGTATCTTCTCTAAACCCCTACAGGCAGCTTCAGAAAGAAACGTAACTTCCTCCTCCCTGACTATTTCATGTCTGTCTGTTCTGCCTTGTACAGTCACATGCTGTTCAGACAAGCATGAAATCATGTGTATTTCCTCTCCCCGCTCCCTCTTGCTGAATTAGTATAGCACTGGTATCCAATAAACATTTGCTAGTCAATCTTATAAGAATCATATTCTCATCTTTTGAGATATGATAAATTCAGATAATTTCAACCAAAACTATCAGATAAATACTGAAATGATGAAGGACCACACAGTATCCTCCCCAGGCATGGACACCAGGAAGGACCGAGCCCATCTTGGCCATTTACATGCTTAGATTTTCTCATCACCTCTCCCTCTCATGGTTCTCTGTGTAAGAGTTTCATGGAAATGAAGAGTCAGATTGTGTGCTTCCTACAGGCCATTGCTGAGGTTCATCCATTGCTTGGGGAGAGAGCTCTGTCGAGGAGAGAGCCAGAAATGTGAATATTTTCCAAGTTTGGGGTTAAATAGTTTCTACTAAACAGAGAAAGTGTAAAAATTTAGTGTCCATTCAAATGGCTCTGAACTAGGAATAGTAGAGGGTTACAGAGTCTAAAGGGCTTGTTACTGGATCTCACTTACACTTCTGGGGCTTATAAATGATCCCCTCCAGTTCCTCCAAGTTGTCTTTGACTGTTGCCACCACTGATGTGTCAAGAGAAGCACACAGCTTGCAGATATACTCCGTGGCTTCCGTTGTGTTTTTGGCATCCCCAACGCCAACCGAGGCAGTCAGCCCAATGACCTGTGAAGAGCACCCCAAGCCATGAGATGTCCGGGGAAAGCATGGTATTTCCTCAGCCACTCCTGTAACTCTCTCCTGCTACCGCAGGCTTCCCCCCAACTTCAAATAAAGAACAGGGACATTTTTCTCCCTGAAACTCTTTATGACAGTGTAAATAGAAAGGTCCTCATTAAGTAAAGCACTGAATAAATGCAGAAGTCACAACGCATGAGTTGAACACAAATCAGCATAGATATGAAGAGAGGAAACCCTTTCAAGGCAGGGCTTCTTTCTTCTTTACCCATGTGTCCCCCATGATGAGTAGAACAACATACTGAAAAGGAAAAGGCTGCAATCGGACATACTTCCATTCCAAGCCCAGCCATGTCACACTGGCTGTGTGTCCTTGGACAAGCAGCTCCCACTCTGTAAAGCTGGGTAACAACAGCGATTTAAAATGGTAGCTGTGTGAATTTAGTAAGGTAACATTTGTAAAGAATATAGGTTAACAGTCACCTAATAAATATTTGTTTCTTCCTCTAATAGCTTCTCAATATATATTGAATATTGAACTACCAATTTTTGTTTCTAGAAGAAAAGGGTGTAAGAAATGTGACTGCAACTGAATTTCGTCTATGGGCACCATCCCGAATTTCTTCCCACCTGTGTTTCCTAAACAGGTAATTATTAGGGTTACAGAACTGTACACAAATGTGAGATTACTATGCTACAAATTCATGATTCCCAACTTCATCTGAGCCCCCAATATGACCAGGCAATTCTTCTGTGGATTAGTTCTCTCTTCCATTTCAAATCCTCTCTATGCATCTTCCATTCCCATCTTCTACGTTCAAGAGAAAAGAGGGCTTATATCCAACTTCCCTTCCTTTCCTGCTCCATCTGAGAACTACTGTCTGTGATGACTCTCCTCACCCTCTCCCCTCTAATGACACCAAAAACAGCAAACATGGTTTTCCATCCGGTCTCCTGTACTAATCCAGCTACTTGCCTACTTATCTAAAACCTCTGGTCTCCCCTGGCATCTTTTAAAAATAAAAAAGGTCTTATTGATTTGAGAGACAGAGGAAGGGAGAGGAGGAGAGAAATATTGGTGGGGGAGAAACACTGACCAGCTGCCTCCTGCATGACCCCGACTGGGGGGTCAAACCTGCAACCTGGGCATGTGCCCTGACCAGGAATGGAACCAGCAACCTCTCAGCACATGGGACACATGCAACTGAGACACACTGGCCAGGGCTCTCTTGGCAGCTTGTTCTATCAATCATTCCCTCTCTCCCATCCTTACTCACCTACTGCTATTCACTACTTCACACTCTACACTCAAGTGATACTTAAAAGCTTCAAGATTCTTAAGCACACCATGTTCTTTCATCCCTCTGTGCCTCTGGACACACAGTAGCCTTTCCAGAAAACCACCTAGCTATCTACCTTGTAAACTCTTGTTAGTGTTAGCTTAACCTAACTTCTGTTAGGACTTGCCTTACCATCACAGCACACTCAGGAGCTCTTTTACTTCTCTTGTGATTGCACCATGTACTCACCTCCATAGTGTGCCATCATGACATACTATGACATAATTCTAACATAATTGGCTCCCCATGAAACTTCAGCTGTTTTAAGGCAAGGAATATGTCTTTTTATATTTGCATCCCCAGTGCCTTGCACAGTGCATGGAGGCACCTGATACATATTTGTTAAGTGGATAAATTAACCAATGAATCAAATTTAATCAATGAGTTATATAATACGGACTTAGAACTTGAGAAGGACAACTTCACTGTGGCCATAAGAGTAAGTCAAAGCCGAAGCCGGTTTGGCTCGGTGGATGGAGCATCGGCCTGCGGACTGAGGGGTCCATAAAATATATATATTTAAAAAAAAAAAAAAAGAGTAAGTCAAGCCTGGCCAGTGTGCTCAGTTTCTGAGCATCAGCCCATGAATCAAGAGGTCACTGGTTCGATTCCTGGTCAGAGCACGTGTCCGGGTTGCAGGCTTGATCCCCAGCAGGGGATGTGTAGAGAAATGATGATGTTTCTCTCTCATCGATGTTTCTATTTCTCTAACCCTCTCCCTTCCTCTCTCTCTAAAAGTCAACAGAAACATATATATATGTAAGTCAAGCTTCGTACATGTAGCTCAGTGGTTGAGCGTCCATCTATGAACCAGGAGGTCACAGTTCAATTCCTGGTCAGGGCACATGCCTGAGTTGCGTGCTCAATCCCCAGTGTGGAGCGTGCAGGAGGCAGGTGATCAATGATTCTCTCTCATCACTCATGTTTCTATCTCTCTCTTCCTCTCCCTTCCTCTCTGAAATCAATAAAAAAATATTTTTTTAAAAAGAGTAAATCAATACGATTTAGAAGTGTGACAGCTCTGCCGAGGAATCCATCGGATGCTGCAGATACCTGGGGCAGTGGGTCTGAAGATCCTCCAAGTTTCTGGTCTAGATAATGAAACATGATCACATTGTAAGGATGGAGTTTGCTGGTGTTGTGGCATTCATCAAATATCATCAAAGTAAAGACAGACAGTGATGGAATAGTCCCATTTTTAAGGCTGTTCACAAGAATCTGTGGCGTTAAAATGATGATGTCATTGTTCTCAACAATCTGTTCCACTGAGATATTCTCAACTGTGGCTCCAGAAATGCCTGCAATTTTGTACCTGGAAACGACAGAAACTGCCTATTACCAACCACGGTGTGAGTGAGAAACCACAAAGATATGAAACACTAGATCAGAACATTAATTGACTGCATTCTCCCTAAGTCAAAAAGGAGACAAGTGCTTAGCAACGTCTTACACATAGTAAGTGATCAATAAATGCAAGCTAGTTGAAATGGCTAGGAGTATATATTAAGCCACCACGAAACTAGTACTTAAAGAGTCATAGTAAATAAATCATAAAATCATTAAAAAGTTAAATGTACCAGTTAAATGTAAAATGTATATCTTAAGTCATTTACTTAGGATTTCAGGTATAGCTAACAAAACAGACTTGAATCCTGAAGGAATTACATCTGGAGTCTATAAAAGCTGAATCTAACTATGAATTTTTTGAATCATGGTTTCCCAAAACCAAAACAAAGCAGACAGCACCCAGTTACATAAAGCTAGAGAAAAACAAGTTCGAACAACTGTTATACTTACCCATGTCTTTCAAAATATTTTAAGATGACGGATTTCTGCTGTTCATACACTGGGAGTTGATTAGCAAAAAACACAATCTTCCCCTTTTGTCCTGGTGGAAATTTCTGAAGATGATGTTCACATATGAGAAGTGCAACAAAGGTTTTCCCACAACCTTTTAACATAAAGAAAAAGAAAAGGTCACTAATATCCTATTAAAATATTTCTGTCGAATGGTAATTATTTTTGGCTCTCCTAAAACCACTGGATGGACTAGTAAACCGGTAATGTGAATGGGTAAACAACTGAAGAATTTACACCAGGACTAACAAATATTAACCTACTCCCTAGGTAATATGAACTCAAACAGTCAGGGCCTGAAGCAAGAGAAAAGATGGCATTTTTCTTTCCCCTCGGGCTCTTTAAAATACCTTGAGACTATATTAATAACATGGTTTTCTCAAAAGACATATGGAACAAGGAAAAAACTAAAACTTGCCCATTTCATCCCAGTATTCAATAAAAGGTGGGGGGCGGGGGAGGAAGCAGAGAAACAAACCATCTAAGTTCTGGCAGTCAGCTTACCAGTAGGAGCACATATTATTGTGTTTTTCCCTTCTAAAGCAGGACGAGCAAGCTCTAGTTGGTAATTTCTTGGCTTAATTGGGCTCTGAGTACAAGATGCTTCTGAAACACAAAAGGAACAAAATTACCAAGGAGTTTCTGCCTGAGGGATCAAGGCAATAGCTATCTATTGTCAGACAGACAGGAATGCTGACTCCAGTAAGAAGGGCCTCAATCCTTGTTTTTAACATTCTAGCTTCTCCACTGATTTGAAGTGAAGAATTCTCCTTCAATGACAAAGTAATGATGGCAAAAAGGGAAGAAAAAAATAAAATAACAAATGGCTTAATTCAGGGCAACACAGATGCCCACCGGTTAAAGGAAATGCTACATGGAACAAAACAGCAAGAAATCTTTGAAAAACACTAAACTGTGTAAACCTTGAATTCTCAAAGCAATCTCTTCTTGAAGAGCAGTCATGCTTTGTAATTCTAAAGGCTCTCACATGCTATTTCCTCTCAAAAGTGAAGGGGAAACTAAGACATTTGGGGGCTAGCTATCTGAATTCTGACGCACACTCTTGCTTGCAGATAAACTCCATTCTATCTGTGATGACTGTCCTGCCTTGCAGAACCTGTTTCCCAGAATACTCCCATTTTACAGAGGCCATAAACCGTGAACCATATACAACACCCTGAGGGGTTTGGCAGTGCTGGCACCAGCCAGGCCTCTGAGTGTAATCTCACTTCCCCCATCCTAACTTACAAGGGGCTACAAAGCCCATGAAAAGTCCAGAAGCCTGATCTATATTTGGGGGACAAAGAAACTAAAGGGTATAAAGGGAAAGCTTCATCCATATTCATCACTCAGGATCTGGAGACTGACCTCCCTGAGTCACGGCACGTGTGCATCTAGAAATAAAGGCTATTTTTCTGAACATCCTCTGAGTGCCCCGCTGATTAATTCTTCTGCGTTAATCTGGTGTGTTGGCTGGGAAAATACCAGTCATGCTGCCTACTTAGGGCACCGCTGGTAAAGGCCAATGGCCCTTTTGCCCAGCTCCCTCCTGAAGATGGAAAGGCATGCCTCCAGTGATTTACGGGATTCCAGTCCTCCTCGGGCCTGGATGACCGGGACCCCCGCTTGCGCCCCAGTGGACTGCAAGCAGGACAGAAAAGCCCTTTCTAGAACCAGACGTCTGACGGGTAAGTTTTCCCCTGGGGGGAGCAGTCTGAGGTCAGGCCTGTCTTTTGGGACAGAAGAAGTGGCTGATGACCACTTAGGCAAAATATTTGCCTCGGTTCAGGGACTTTCCGTGAGTGGAAGTCAAAGCTCTGACTGTGAATGTGAGTCTGTGTGAAGCGAAAGTTACCTTGTGTTTGTTCTGTGTCTCTTTAACAGGGAGGTATTACATGGTTTAACTGCAAATATGGGAAGTAGTTCCTCCAAACCCACTGTTTTAGAATGTATGTTAAAGAATTTTAAGAAAGGTTTTCCTGGGGACTATGGGGTGAGCCTAGTTCCCTGGCAGTTAAGAAAGATGTGTGACACAGACTGGCCATCTTTGGGTCAGGATGGCCAGAGGAGAGCACATTGGATGTCCCCGTAATCAGGAATGTTTACAGTTATAAAGGGAGTTTTTTGTTGTTGTTTTTTTAATATAAATTTTTATTAATTTCAGAGAGAAAGGGATAGGGAGATAGAAACATCAATGATGAGGAAAGAATCATTGACTGGCTGCCTCCTGCACCCCTCCCTCCCGAAGAATCATTGACTGGCTGCCTCCTGCACCCCCGCCCCTCCCAATAAGGACTGAGCCCACAACCTGGGCATGTACCCTGACCAGAATCAAACTGTGATCTCTTGGTTCATAGGTCTCCGCTCAACCCCTGAGCCATGCAGCAGGCAAGAACCAGGAGTTTTAAAAAACAATCAGAGGCTGTATATCACTAATAGGTAAGCAAATGGAAATATGTTACGAGCCACAAATACCTTGAAAATCATCTATTGAGTCCAAACTATCCATTCGAAAGAAAAGGACACGTTCTAAAAGGTTTAGAGAGTTCACTAAGGACCTTTCACATGTCAGAAAAGTTGAAAGCAACTTACATTCATTGATTTTATTTTGAAATGACCAAAAACTTGAATCATTCAGTTGCAGAAGTAATCTATAAATTTGCTTCTCGTGGTGTTATCCCCAAATCACATCTTTCTTCTAACACTACTCATGTATATCATAATTTTCGCCCTTTGGTAAATAACTTTTTACTATGGCTTATTATGCAACTTTCTGGTCTCATGAAAAGAATAAGATGGGCCTTTTACAGCCACAGGTAACTCATACTGGGCCTTTGTATGAATTAGAAAAAGCTGTCTGCTCAGAGGACATAGCCCCTCAACACACTGTTTGACAAACAGCACAACCTAGATCTCAATCCCCTCTCAGCCCTCAGCCGCGTACACATGGGCAGCGCACAAACTTCATCAATTTACACTGCAGCCCTGGGATCCTAGAAGGAAAGATAGCAAATGACTCTCAAATAGTAGAAATATTTCATTAGAAAGCAGGGCTGATTTTTAAAATCCTGTCTGTGAAAGCAGGAGCTCATGGACATTGAGTTTCTGGGAGGACTATTTGCATTTTCATGTAGAGATGCCTATATTTTCTTAGTGATAAAAGAAGACCAAAAAAAGAAGATAGAAGAGGAAGAAGTTGACAATTGAATTCCTAACCATAGAAAAAAGTATTTTTTGTCATGTAAATTCTCTTTTCTTTATTACTTTCCCTTAAAAACCTTTTCATAAGACCGTGACTTCTGGTACCGAAAACATGTCCCCACACAAAATACTTGAAGGGCAACATATGGAAAAGAAAAGAGAGTGCTGGGTACCTGAAGGTGGACATGAATTCTGACTAAGATTCTGGCATTCTGGTTCTTCCTTGTAGAAAATCTGTACGTCGGAAGTTTCTATTTCCTCATCCTCAAGCTCTTTCGTTTCCTCTTTTGCACCTTTATGAGACCAAAAAGCATCTTAGAATCTTTACATAAACTAATTCATCTTGATTGTGAAAGCCTCACAATGAGGTCATAATACTAAAATTGTAATCTCCCATTAAGATTTCTCACAAACATTCCTGTCACCTTTAAAACAATTAAAAGAATCTTTTCAAGTTTGTTATCTCAATTTGGAGAGTTTGAACTCCAAAGTCATTTCGGACTTTATTATTCAAAGTGTAGGACATAGATCAGCAATTTCAGGAACTTGTTAGAAATGCAGACTCTTGAACCCCTACTGCATCAGAATCTGCATTTGAACAAGATCCCTGGGTGGTTCATATGCACACTAACGAAGATATTCATGTCTTCCTTTCCTGGCCTCCCCACGAAATCAGATGTGTATTTCTGGAACAACTTGTGATTTAAAGAAGCCACAAAAAGCTAAGAGGGTTTACCAAACTCAACCTTTAAAACAGTAGTTCTCAACCTTCCTAATGTTGCAACCCTTTAATACAGTTCCTCATGTTGTGGTGACCCCCAACCATAAAATTATTTTCGTTGCTACTTCATAACTGTAATTTTGCTACTGTTATGAATCGTAATGTAAATACCTGATACGCAGGATGTATTTTCATTGTTACAAATTGAACATAATTAATCACAAAAACATTATGAATAATATATGTGTTTTCCGATGGTCTTAGGCGACCCCTGTGAAAAGGTCGTTCGACCCCCAAAGGGGTCGCGACTCACAGGTTGAGAACCGCTGCTTTAAAATGATGCTTTGAGGTTAGCTTCAGGACTCAGATACTTAATCACAATAGATTCTTTTTTTCAATCCTGCTCTGGTTCAGTTCCAGATGGCGTCCAGGCAGAGAACCAAGCAATGTCTATCATGAATCTACTGTGAAAGGGCTAAGTCCTGGTTTGGACCCTCTTAACTCTTAAATTTTCAAGAGATTTCTCTGATAATCTAAACCCAAATAGTGAGCTCAGACCCTGCCTCCCCCAAGTCCTTTGGGCCAGATGGGTTTGCCCTGGTCCATATTTAGGGGTTATATACAACCAAACTACTTCTGTAGGCAAGTAGCCGCTTGCCTTCCAGAATTCAATTTCATGCTGATCTCTCATTAGAGAGGTAGCGATGGGTATCAGAGGGGAAAAATGCCTCTGACAGCGAGTGAAAAACAGGTAGGAGTGAAGGAAGCCCTAAGGAGAACTATGAGGAAGCAGAGTATGTTTTCAGACCCTCCCCTCCCCCTTCAGAACTGTTCCTTCAAAATCCTACCATTCTCTGTAATCCACAGTTCACTAAAATTGCTCTCTTCTTTCTCCAAAGCAAGTTTCAAATATTTGGGCCAGTTCTCCTTGTCTGATCTGAGAAGGCATTCAACCATTTTCTCTGCACCTGCCATCGGCCCCTTGTTGGAACAAACCTGAGCAAGACAACTGCAGTTGACTGATCAATTATTTCAAAGTTTTCCTTTTATGAGGTTTTATTGAAGAAATACCAAGTTAAGTGCTATCTGATTTAAAATTATTGTTTGGTTCAATAGGTCTTATTCATGAACATTTTTGCCCCATCCCACACAATTTTTTTAAAAACCCTTCCTTTGCCCTAATCCTGTGGTCGGTAAACCACGGCTCCCGAGCCACATACGGCTCTTTGGCCCCTTGAGTGTGGCTCTTCCACAAAATACTATGTGCGGACGTGCACGAACAGTGCGACTGAAACTTCGTGGCCCATGCACAGAAGTCGGTATTTTGTGGAAGAGCCGGTATTTTGTGGAAGAGCCACACTCAAGGGACCAAAGAGCCGCATTTGACTCACAAGCCGCGGTTTGCTGAGCCGCAGTTTATCGACCATTGCCCGAACCAGTTTGGCTCAGTGGGCAGAGCGTCGGCCTGCGGACTGAAGGGTGTTCCTCTCTCATCAACATATCTAACTCTCTATCACTCTCTCTTCCTCTCTGTAAAAAAATCAATAAAATATATATTTAAAAATAAGTAAATAAATAGAATAAAAAACCCTTCCTTGGTCCTTGTCCTCTTCATAGCGTATCACTATGTCAAGCCAAGTATTCTCACCTCCTCTGAGATCTTATATTCGATCATCAGCAGCAATATTAGGAAAACAACCCACATACTAGCCATTCAAAATATGGGTATATTGGCATAGAGAGGTATTTGAAAGGACATAACCAAATATTAACAAATGGGTTTTTCAAGGTGGTGAGATTTACATGACTTTTATTATTAATCATAATCATAACTAACATTTATTGAGCACTTATGCACCAGGCGTATGTAAGCATTTTACATATATTATCTAATTTAGTATTTATAAAAATATAGTAATAAGATGCCATTTTAAACATGAATAAACAGAGGCTTGGAGAAACTAAGTAACTTGCCTAAGATCATATCACTAGTAAGGGGTTGAGTTAGGATTCTAACAAAGTTTATTTGTGTCTAGAGCCTGAATACTTAGCCACTAGATTATATGGCTTTTTAAAATTTGCTAAACTAGTTGATTTTATTTAAATTTGCATAAAACATTATTCAGAAAGCAATAACAAAAATTTTAACTGAAAATAGGACAAACCTGAAAAAATTTGTGACATAAAAATTACTCAATTCACAATTAAATTACTATTCTAGGAAATTAAGCCTGAGATTTGAAGACTTTTGTGGGTTGCAGGATCTTTCTTAGGTCTAAAGCATTATAGAAAACAGAAAATATTTTCCATGTTCAAATTATTTCCCAATTCAAAATTTTATTTTAATTAAATTACCTGTCTAATTTCTTCACATTCCTGATTAATTAAACATTCAGATAGTTCAGGAAGGATACCATTTGGATTAATTCTGGTTTTAAATTCTGGTTGCAAACGCCTTAAAAGCGATCTATGTTCCTCCAACTTTTCTATTTTGTGGAAATCCCAACTTTCAATGGCTTCATAAAGTCCAGAATAACCTGGAAAAAAAAAGAGAGAGAGAGAAAGAGAATTGGGGGCTTTTATGAGACCAACTAAAAATACTTTGAGATTATTTAATATCAAGAAATCATGTCTGACTGTACAGTGAGAGAACTCAAAAATATCTAAATCTCCTTAGTTATTTTGAACTTTCAAAAAGAAAACTCAATATTCATTTTAGGTACCCAACATTTTAGATCTTCTAACAATATTTATCATCTCTTGGGAGAAAATACAAAGGATATATGTGAGGTTTTACATTTGATCTTTGTATAAAATTTTCCTTCCAAAGTGCATCCATAGATTCCACCTACAACTCCTGATTTATCTTTCAATGAGCCAAGCCATCATGTTAAGCTTCTTGTCAGTGCAAATTAGTAAAGGCAAACAGAAATATAGATTATAATTCCAGCCCCTTAGGAGATTACCTTCTGTGTTATTCCAAGAAAATAAAACTAAGTATAATGAGAAAATCTGAGGTGGAAAAAAATTACTTCCAATTGTAATAATCCAAGAATGTTTCACTCTAAAGTTCTCTAAAGAATTACCAGGCTTGTCCAATCTTAAGGCCCACAACCTTTTTATTAGTATACTAGTGGCCCGGTGCACAAAATTTGTGCGGGATGGGGGGTGGGGGGGGGGAGTGCCCCTCAGCCTGGCCTGCACCCTTTCCAATCTGGGACCCCACGACGGATGTCCTACTGTTGGTTTATAGGGATCGGGCCTAAACTGGCAGTCGGACATCCCTCTCACAATCCGGGACTACTGGCTCCTAAGCACTCACCTGCTTGCCTGCCTGCCTGATTGCCCCTGATCACTCTGCCTGCTGGCCCGCTCATCCCCAACTGTCCCCTGAGCCAGTGTGCTCACCCCCACCTTCCCTCCCCACTGGCCTGCTCACCCCCAACTGCCCCCCTGCTGGCCTTCTCACTCCAAATTGCGCCCCCCACTGTCCTGATCACCTCCA